ACGAGGCCTCGGCTTTCTCCGTGGCCTGCAGGGTGCTGTTCGATTACCAGCCCGCTGAACCGGAGATGTGGCTCTACCTCTGTGCGCAGCAGATGCCGCCTTGCCGCTACGGTGGCACCATGGTACCGCTCATCGCGCCCTGGCCCGGTATGGAGGCACCGCTGCAGGTGGTGAAGGCCTACGAGGCCTCGGAATGGCGCCGCGAGGACATGAGTCTCCTGGAGTTCTGCCGCAAGACCAACAAGGACGGTCGCATCGCCCAGTGGGTGATCAAGCTCCACAAGGCAGCGGGGGACGTGCAGCCTGCAGACGACGAGGCCACGAAGCTCCGAAAGCTACACGACTTCGCGAACAGCTGCCCGATGAGCGGCGAGAAGCTGGTGGCCTGCGACATGCTCTCGCTCTTCAACGACCGGTGGTTCGGGCAGTGGCTGGCTTTGCGACAGCCGTTCCGATGCCTTGACGACCTCATGCTGCCAGAAGTACAGGAGAAGGTGCCGCCCCAGTACGTCCACTTCGCCAATGCCGTGTTGCAGTGTCCGGAGTTCTGGCAGGACGAGGAGCGTATTCGCGCCGACCTGGAACTGGAGGCCATGGGAAACGGCAAGATCCAGACCTTTCTGGCCAAGGTGCTGGCACAGCGGGCATTGGTGGAGAAATTCCTCAGTGGGGAACTCGCGAAGGAGGACGTCGATGGCACGCAAGATTCATTGCGAGAGGTGGGCCTGCTCCTAGAGGAGGAGGATCCCATGTTCAAGGACGTCCGGTTCAACGAGCGGCAAGAGCGACTGGAGAAGAGCATCTGCAAGCTGCTGGACAGGGCCAAGGCGGCGAGGGAGGCATCGAACGAAGTGGAATGGGATCGCATCGTGGAGGCAGCCAAGAAGCAGAACAGGCCTCAAGCAGTGACCGGACCACCAGGCACCGGCAAAACCACAGTGGTCGACAAGTGTGTCCGCAGGTGCCTACGACAGGGAGGCCGAGTGTTGTATGCACTGCCCACGGCCCAGCAAGCATTCAGGGTCAGGAGCAAGCACCCCGAAG